CAAAACAAAATGCACTCTTAATTGCATTGTTACCTTTCTCAACACATTTCTATTGACAATGATTCAGTATTCACATACTCTTGTTTAAACCTTTTCTCCTTTGACCAGTTGCAATAAATTATTCACCAGGGGGGAGGGTATTAAAACAATAACGAACCAATAACAAATGTCCAATGTCGAAAGCAATGAGTTATATTTACCTCTGAGCACCTCCCTGTTTTGAAATAACCAGAAAATTATTCTCCAGCAACTCTTACCTGTCAAGAAATAGCTTCGGCATTGGTTTTGTGTTTCAGTTGACTGTGACGGCTGGGAAAGTCGACCTAGAAGCATGTTTTTACACCGCAAATTGACACTTTTGATATAAAGAGGGTCACTAGTAAGTTTTATTTCTAAATGTATTATTGTTTTGTGATTTAAGCGCACATTACAATCATTCTTGCTGTGTAAAGGCCTTTCGGCTTATCAATTGAGTTTATGTTACCTTCCCCCCCCCAAAAACGAAAAAATAAACAGAGCTAAATTTCTGCTTTGGTGGTCAACTTACCAGTCAACTCTTTATACTGCCAATTGACAAGAGTGTTACCATTTGTTCCACTCCGTCATTCAAACAGGCTTACCTTAGCATCCGCTACCATTATAGTTTTTATGGTTTTTTAAACTATTATAGAAGAATTACTTGGCGTTGACAAGGATTTTAAGGATTCCAGCAAAGAAATACTTGAATTCATTGGTATTTTGGTTTTGTAGTTCCTTTTGTTTAAGGGATTCTTTTAAAAATGACTTAAGCACATATAAGTGGGGTGTCTTTGTTTAAATACAGTACTAAATATTATTGTACAGGATCAGAATGTTCACAGTTGATTGTTTAAGCTTTGGAAGCCCTCTGCGTTTTACCTATAAGTTGTTCTTATATTTTCAACATTTAGGATCCCAAGCTGTTATGTATGGCGTACTCTGCTGTTGGAAAACTGTCAAGGTAAAGTAGCACATGCACTGTATTCAAAGTACATTTACACACCTATGCGTTTGCTGCACTGCACTTTAGTGGCTGTGTCGTCAGCTCCCTGCCTCTTTCTCTTTAAAAATTAAATGAAAATAAAGGGACAGACAGATCTGCAGGCAATGAGAGAGCCAAAAGAAAAGTAATGAGAAGTTGCAGAGATACAAGGCATAGACGGCAATATAAACAGTGTTTTCGGTTCAAAAGGGGGTTTCTTTTTACCCAATAAGTTAATTTAAAAAATTGTGAGCTCCCATTTTTATAATAATGCCGGTCTTGTGCTGCAGTGTGTGCTCCGGTCCTGTAGTGTAAAGAGACGTGCTTTTGTTTCTCCTTCTGCCCTCTGCGAGTACAGCTCCTCGTTTTTGTTCCCGGGCGTCGCCTACTGCTGCCTTTCCCTGCTGAAGACATGTGACCAAACCAATCACAGCGTTTGACCCACTGCAGTAAAAAAAATTCTTGAGTTTCTAGAAAAATGGCACAGCGTTTTTTTTTCCAGCTGGTGTGTATAGTCACATTAGCGCCTGTGTATTTAAGGCTAAAGATTTACTGCATTCAGGCCCTACATTTAAAAAAATGCATAGGTTTGTAATACATACCTTTGATAATACAATCTGAGTGAAAAATTTAAAAACAATACAACTTAAGTTTATTTCAAATATAAATATAACACATAAACCAGTAAATGGACAATATAAACTAAACAATCTACATAAGCAACTTAATAATCAAACAATGGATCACAAATTCCCCCTGATGTGGTGGGCACTTGAAAGTGTCCTTTTGGATTCCTGTGGAGATGGCCAGCTGCTGCCATGTTTGTGGTAACTCAAAAGTTGGGAACCAAATTGTGAAAATATTTAAAAGAATTTAACTTGTGTGACAGTACATGGTTGATGAAAATGCTTTGTTAAAATAAAATTCATTTCTGTAAGCAAAAATCGTATAAGAAATGACGTATGGTATTTTAAATCAAACAAACATGATTGATAAACATTACCAAATGTTATAAAGGTGTGGCCAGGCTGGCCATCACACTTGTCATGGCAAGATTGAACGCAGCAACAACACAAGTTATCTATACTGCATCAACAAGGTCTCTCCCAGACAAACATTTCAAAGCAGACTGAAGTTTCAAAATGTGCTCTTTTGAAGAAATGAAAAATGTTGAGCATGGGAATAAAATAGTAGCAATATAAGGTACAAATGCATGTTTTGATCTGCAAGATCAAGATTTCCAAGTGCGTAACTGGATTAACCAATGTATGCCTCAATCTGCAAATGCATGTTCTTTGATTTGCGAATGCGCTATCAGGCTCCGGGTTGGGTGTTGAGGAACACGTCAGCAGGTGGCAACAGTCACACCAAGTGCAGTACTCGCACAATTGACTAGTCATTTTTGGGAAGACAAGAAGCCGCTATAGCTTTCATTCTGGTTTAAATTACACAAAGCATGACATAGCAGATCATCCCACAGGGTAATGCTACCAATGCAACTAAAATGAAACTATGGAGGATGTTTTAATACAATGAATAACAAAAACAAAGGAAAGACAAAAATGAATAAAGAAATAGAACAAATAAAATTAACCATAAAACACTAGAAAGTTGAGCCATAGTTAAGGATCATAGGCACTGTGGCTGTCCATGGAAACTTGTGGAAGATTACCATTCGAAAATACAATGCTTGAGAAGTGCCATCAGCTCTGAACTGACCGAAACCAGTGGAACCCAGGTTCACCCATATACTGTCTGGCAAGAATTGGTCTTCGTTGAAGAGTTGCAGCTTAAAAGCCATACCTCTGATGTGGCTCAAGTATCCTCAAAACTGGGTGCAGCACTGGATTGATGAATCAAATTTTGAAATATTTGGCTGTAGCAGCTGCAGGCTGTTTCTTCCTCAAAGGGCTGAAGGGGGCACTACATGAGTGTCTGCGGGCAACAGTGAAGCATGGTGGAGGTTTTAATGTTTGGGGCATAATGGGAAATAATGATGTTCCCAAATACAAGCAGACATTTTCTACAGCAGGAGGATAACGACCCTATACATACAGCCAAAGAGCTGTTTGGAAAAAACCACCAGCAGAGATCCTTCTAAAACTTTGTGTACCTAGAAGAATAGAAGGCAAAGGGTGGTCGTACCAAATATTGATTTTCATTTCACTTTTGTGCATTCTATACATTGATCCAAATGAATAATTAACACTTCCACTCTTTGTTTACAGCACATTTGAACTATTTCACTCTTCTGTTTACATAGTCGGATGCCTCAGCTTTTCACAAAAGACATTGCGTTGGTGCAGCAGTTTTTTGAGTCCATGTGCAAGGTTTGTTTGATTCAAACAATGTGAATAAGATCATCTTTTATAATGTGGCTGATTTATGAGTTGAGTTCCTTCCGATGGAAAACAGGTGGATGCTGATGTGAGATTGGCCATACAGGAGGCATTGTCAATGATGGTTGGGGCTTATGCCAATCTTCAGGGGGCACTTCTTAACTTAATGGAGGCTCTTGTGGCTGCGTACATTACAAAGGTAAGTCCTTATTTATAGAGCCATGGGGAAAATGTTTACAATGACTGAAATAACTTGAAGATTTCACATGTATATTTACCGGTATATTTAAATGATTCAGAATTTTAACATCCTGTCCCTTTTGGTTTGTCCAAGCCAGAGGTACAGATACGCCAAGTTGCAATGAAGTACGCCAGCACTGTGTTTGCTCCTGATCATGTAGCCTCTAGATATCTCTTACTTCTGGCTGCAGGAGATCCGTGAGTGTACAGGGACAACAGTTTTCCATTTTACTTCACATTTATGGAATGTTTTTGCATCAACATCATACGTTGTGTTTGTAGACGTGAGGAGGTGTCTGGAGAGGCTCAACGAGCTCTTAGATCTCTTCCCTCTACAAAGTCTGAGAAAGAGGGAACAAGGTCGATGCCTTCATTTCCTGAGATGGTCAGCTACATCCAGGAAAAGGTGTGGTGTTTTCATTTATTTTTGGGGGGCGTTGCAGAATTTTTACAACATACATGTTCATGGTGTGTGGCACATAGTGAAGTTATTAGATTTAATGTTTATTTACTAATGTTAGTGCAGTTTCTTTAGCAAATCCAGGTTAAAAATCTCAGTTTACTTATACACAGGAGATAAATTCATTTTGTTTTTGTGTTGCAGGCTTCTCAGAGAGTAAAGACTCCAGCAAAATACATTGTCGGGACATCTACCCTTCCTTATAACCCTGCCACATTTGGAGAGGTAAATTGTACAGTGCGGAGCTTTTTACAGTGCTTAGCATAAATGAATGCATTTATGAGCAAAAGAACAATTACAAAACTTTAAACAAGGCTGATTTTTATTGAATCTCCATAATATGAAATGCTGCATAATGATCACAAAATCTTTACCCCAGTACAAAAACGTCTACATCTAGTATTTTGTACGAGCACCATGATTTTTAAGGGCCGCACCAAGTCTTCTTGGCAAGGAATGAACAAGTTGGAAAGTCTAAACATCTTTCTTTTCCCATTCTTCCAAAAAAAACCTCCTTTGGGGCTCAACTTTGCTTAACTTGTCCCCACAGGTGTTCACTCGGGTTCAGATCAGGAGACGCTCAATCACTTTCACCCTGTTCTTCTGCAGAAATGCAGCAGTAGTTGTAGATGTGTGTTTTGGATCATTGTTGTGGTGGAAGAGTGATGGCAGCATCTTCTCCTTCAGTATCAAGCAGTACATTGTTGAGTTAATGATGCCATCAATGAAATGCAGCTCCCCAACACAAGCAGCACTTATGCAGCCCCACATAATGACACTGCCACCACCATGTTTCATCTGAACTTACAGGTGATTTTTCTTCAAACTTTTTCATCAGAACACACTCCTCTCAAGAGTCGTTTCTGTATGATAGTTGCACTTCTTCTACAGTATTATTATTGATATGCAAAGCTCTGCCCTTATTCTTTTATCTTTCCGTTTTTTTGTGTAAATAAATAAAGCTTGGTGGTTCAGTGGTAGAATCCTCGCCTGCCACGCAGGAGACCCGGGTCTGGTTCCCGGCAAATGCCCTATATATAGTCCCGGCTTTTCTTTAAATAATGCCCTATATATAGTCACCTGTCTGCTGGACACCTCTTTAATGAATCGTTAGATTCACCTGTGGGTTTATATATATATATATATATATATATATATATATATATATATATATATATATATATATATATATATATATATATTTCTCATTCAGGATTCATTAATGACTCACATCTATGGGAGTGTTTTGCAGTAGAGTTCTCATAGAAAATGTTGATTCTGAAAGGAAACTAAAGGTTTATGACAACCTTAGCATAACAAACAAAGGTTTATGCTAAGCACTGTAAAAATAGTTATTATAGCATTTGTCATATTATTATATTATAGCAAAATACCAAATATTGTAACTTGTATGTTGTATTAATTCACTTCACAGAAGGTTAACATTATCAACTGTATTTGTTTACATTTTATTAATTCTGGTTGACGCTTTTAGCTGCAAATTTTCCTTCTTTGTAAGAAATGTTGGTTAAGTTTTTGATAAGTGCTTGATTTTTGCATTTTTCTTGCTCTCTGTTTCTCATTTAAGTGCTCATTAACATATTTAAATGTAAGTAAATGAGGCAGGGTGGGTGGGGTGTTCTGCTTTTGTATGTGCATTGACTTCCATGTTTATTAGGATTTACAATGAGAATATGAGTTCTGATTTATTTTTTGTGGGTTGAGTACATTTCTAGCTCTGTACACACGTAATGTTCCTTAACACAAGGCTAAACTTAATAATTCAATAATTTTTCCAATGTCTCTGATCCTTAAGGCTTCCTAATTTTTATACATTGTGTAGTTTCCTATCCTCCAGAACCCAGTGTGTGGTTTGTTTTCTGGCACAGAGTGGCTGCCATCAATTTATTCAGGTGGATGTTGCACACTGGTGGTGATATAGACGATTCCTTTTAAAGTGCATGTACCTAAATGTAACTAAAATAGCGTCCCAAAATAATACGAAATATATCTTGGGAGAATGGGCTGATTTGTTTGACAGAAGCATTGGAAAGTGGGATAGGGTTTGAGCCATGCCATCACACCCACACTCAAGACCTGGATATACTGGCAATTCAACCAGTCTTATCACATGTGGCAGAATCCCTTATGATCCTTCCCATGAAAAAGTGTAGTCTATACAAAAAAATAAATATAAAATAAATAATTCACTATATAACTCATTTCAATTACAACAGGGTGCGATCTAATCTACCAATAGATAATAGTAATATTTGCGTCCTAAATATGTACTTCATATTGAGTTATCAAAAAGCTCAAGCATGTGACCTCTCCAATATGGTTGCCGAAGTTGAATCACGTGTTCACCCCAACTGAGCTTTCGGTTTGAGTAGAAACCAGAATCTACTCAGAAACCTTTTCAAATGCGATTCCATTCAAGGCAAAAGGTTGTTTTCAAACTGTACTATACCCCTGGGGTATACTTAAAAAAACAACTTACTTGGTGAAGTTTGGGTTTATTAGATCTTAAGGGTCTTTAAAAGCAATCAGCAGAGACTCCAGATGAAAACAAATATGTTTATTGCCAGTATTAATAGAGGGGTCAGCAGGTGCCTTTTACAGTTAAAGGAATTTGTCTTTGGTGTGTGATGTCAAAAGCATTTGTTCTATAGCTTTAAGCTTATGTGTCAAGTTGACTTAACATGAGCTTGCATTTCATTGTTTCCCCAGATTATTCTTTATCTTAGAATGTGCCTAGCTCACAGTTCTGGAGCCTCACCCACATCCCAGAGCTTGATGGACATGCAAGATGATGCTCCTCTTATTGGACTCTATGTTCAGTCATTACTCTCAAATGGAGCTTCCTCTGCTGTGAAAGGTGGAGAGGGCAATCCAGTTCATGCATACATCGGCTTACTGCAGCAGCTTCTCTCAGCTGTAGGAGGTAAGAGATATAATAGTTAAAGCTTTGTACCAGCTTTATACATCCTGTTGATCATGGATTGGTCCGTTGTTGATCTCACTAGCTGCTTTTCCATCCACCAATTTGCATACAAAATCGTAATGGAAATGCAAAGATGCGATTAGATTTTAAAAAAGCACAAAAAAGTGAAAAACAGAAAAAGGATAAACCTCTTATCCGATAATAATAAATGGATATAAACTATGATGGAAACGTATTTGCAGAATAAATACCAATGCAATGCCAATGCAAGTTTTCAATACAAAAAAGTTTTAGTCATTCTAAAATTCCTTAGCCAAAATCTTTCACCAAAGTGGTTCAGGATTATCCCAGTTTGGACTGGCTCTGTTTCCAAAGAGCAGTCTCCCACCTCCAAAAGCAACATGACAAGGCTTCACATATAACATTTCGTCATGTGTTCTAAGATGCAAGAAAGTTATTATATACAAAAAAGGCCTTCTCCGAATGCCACAACTTCCATTTTTCTTTTGATATTCACCATCAGTTTATTAAGAAGTGACAATTTTTTCGAATCAGTGCTCTATTCGCAAATGTTTTATGCAATACTCCAGTTTCACGCATACATTTTATTTGCATTATTGGGTGCAAACATGGGTACTGATTGGCCAGAAAGACTGAGTTGAGTTACTGGGTATTTACAGTTAAGAGGAGCACAGGGAGAAAATAGGGAGCCTTTAGCAGTTATTTAGCTCTTTTTTATATTGGCTAATAGTCTAAAAGAGTCTTAAAAAAATCTTTAAAAATTTTCAAAATAGCTGCAGCCTCTTTGAGTTTTTTTTTTGTACTGCTCAGGGCTCTAGACTTACTTTTTGCACTGGTTGCACTGGTGCGCCTAAATTTTTTTCTTAGGTGCACCAGCACAAAAGTTAGGTGCACCCAAATTTTCAACTGCATCACATTTAACACCGCATTTTCACAAGTTCACTTTTTTTTAGTTCTCTATTTATTAATTTTTTTTAAATCACTGTCCATAGACAATATTGACTTGTAAATGATTAACTCGCGTAACATCATTGCTGTACGTCGGGTTTACGTTCAAGCCATTTTTCTTCATAAGAATCATTTCGGACTTGAATTTAGTGAAGGGGAGTTCTTCTTTTGCAATATTGTAGGCAACGTTAAACTTAATTATCATCTCGGCCTCGTCTGATCTGTTTGCAGCTGCCTGCCGCTGTAAAGGTACGTTCACATCGAACGTGGTTCGCGCGGTAAGCGCGGAGGGTTTCCATGTTAAGTCAATGCAAAGACGCGTTTGCGCGCGTCTGAGGCTTCAGCGGCGCGGTAAACGCGAATTGAGCGGCGCGCTTGCCGCGATAGGCGCGTATTGAACCGCATGAATGGGTGATACGCGTGTTGTGAGCCGCGCGCAGGAGGCGGACCGGCCGTAGACGGAGTTTCGTTTTTTTTCCCCACTCGAACAACGGGTCGCACCGGTGCAACCTTTGATTTTTTTTAGTCGCACCATTGAGAAATTTGGTCGCATATGCGACCAAATTGGTCGCACTCTAGAGCCCTGCTGCTTGTTTTTTAAATCCAACAAACCTGAAATACTACAAAAAGTACAATTCAGAGTATTACATTTTGTATTCTTTTTTTATGTAAAAAATGTAACAAAATATTGTTAAGACAATGTCAAAACAATGTGAAAAAGCAGGTGAACCTCTTCTAGAACCGTATACACTGTTCCAAGCACCTTTTATGCCATTGTGCTTTTTTTTGTATATCTCAGGTATTGTACTTCCAAGGTTATTCCTTCATTTTACCACCTGGTGGCACTGATTTGGGCTCTGTAAAATGAAACTGAATGACGATTGCGCATTTTAACTACCTTACAAATTGTGTCTGAAAATGTTTTTTTTTTGTTTTTGTTTTTTGCTATTGTCCATCATTTACTTGGAGTCAAACACCTCTCTGATGGTATTCATGAAGTTGAGCGTCTGCCTGTAAACCATGGGTGTCAAACTGAACAGTGGGTTAGATGGACTATGTTTTTTAAAGGAACATTTTTAAAAGAAAAATATGTTTACGAAAAAAGGTTCTTTTAAAGGAATTAAGCAACATACACTGCAGTTTTAAGTAAACATAGCATAAAATAAACATTTCCACTGAATTTACTGATTTACTGTATTGTTTTCCACACAAAATCTAACTCTGGTTTAAGACTTTAGCTTCGTACTGAGACTTCAGCCTCAGAAAGTTTCCACTTTAAAACACAACAAGCTTTTAGCAGCACAACAGTGCCGATATCGGTTTTGCCTTCTGCAGAATGAATCGTCGTCATTTAACGGGGAAACCGAAGTCAGAGGCGCTTAAACCCAGATGGCTGATGCCTGTGCATATACTTCTGTGAGAAAGCCACATTCTCAATTTCAGCAGTTTAGCATTTCTCAAGCCAGTTGTGATAGATTGCAGCAATTCATGAGTTACCAGAACTACTTTATTGTTTGTACAGAGACGAGACATTTAAATGGTCAGGAAAACTTATATTGGCTTGTTGCAGATGAGGAAATGTTGCACATCCCTATTGTGTTTGCTGATGTATTTGATCTTTCAATGCAGGAATTCCAGTGATGTATTGTCTTCTGGAAGTGATCTCTGTGTGCCCAGAAAAACTTAGTGCCAAGTTTGTAGACAAAATCGACTGGATTAAGGTTATTTACTTTACATGTAAGGCATATTTTCCATATGATATGTGTCGTGCTTTTTTATCTAATCAATCACTTTTGTTTTAAAGGGTCTGATGAATACTAATAAAGAAGACATGCGTGAGCTGGCAGCACAGCTATATGCTGTAGTTGTCTCAAATATGTCAGGAAATGAACTGAAAACAGCTGTACAAAACTTAATCAAGACAACAAAAGACACACATGTGAGTTCAAACTTTAGATTCTTTTAAAATAGAAAAATATAAATATTTTTTACCTTTTTTTTTTTGCACTAGAGTCCTGAGACTCAACATGGCGCCATCTTGGCTCTAGGTTACATGGTTGGCAGATATATGAATAAGAAAAGGAACCTGAGATCATCTGAAGCCTCTGCGATAGAAGA